TTGAACCCCTCCAGGGATGGGGCACCCACAGCTTCTCTGGGCAACCTGGGCCACTGCCTCACCACCCGCACAGGAAAACATTTCTTCCTAATATCTCATCTAAATCTCCCCTCTTTCAGCTTAAAACCATTACCCCTCATCCTGTTGCTACATATCCTTGTAAAGAGTCCCTCCCCATCTCTCCTGTAGCCCCCTTTCAGCACTGGGAGGTGCTGGAAGGTCTCCCTGGAGCCTTCTCCTCCAGGCTGCACATCCCCAGCTCTCAGCCTGTCCTCGCACGGGAGTTGCTCCAGCCCTCGGACCATCTCCGTGGCTCCTCTGGACCCACTCCAGCAGCTCCGTGTCTGTCCTGTGCTGAGGACCCAGAGCTGGACGCAGCACTGCAGGGGTGGGGGGGGTCTCACAAGAGCAGAGTAGAGGGGGAGAATCACCTCCTTTGACCTGCTGCTAATGCTTCTTTTGATGCAGCCCAGGACACGGTTGGTTTCTGGGCTGCAAGCGCACACTGCCAGCTCATGTTGAGCTTCTCATCTACAAATACCCCCAAGTCCTTCTCCTCAGAGCTGCTCTCTATCCATTCTCCACCCAGCCTGTATCTGTGCTTGGGATTGCCTCGACCCACGTGCAGGACCTTGCACTTGGCCTTGTTAAATTTCATGAGGTTTGCATTGGCCCACCTCTCAAGCCTGTCCTGGTCCCTCTGGATGGCATCACCATCCTTGGTCACTGATTCACCCAAACTGGTATGGGTATCAACCTGCCTTAATATGTTGTATTAACATATTAATGACTCACCCCCCATTCTGCACCCTTTGGTAGACAGGGTAATGTCTGGCAGAGGGACAAAGTAGATAAGCTCTTAGCCCCAAAATGAATCCCCAGAAGTATAAATGGGAGCCCCAAAAGAGCTTCCATATATGACCACAGCTTTAAGTTCAGACAACAAAAAGGTAAGAAGCAGTAGAGAAAGCATGATTAGCAGAGTAAATATTGCAACAGTTGCCGTTTGTAAATGAGGATGATAGCATCCAGTTAGATTTACGGCCTCTGGCCATACAAATTTCATGCCTAATAACATGCCTAAACTGTTAATTTCTTTGCATGAACATTAGGACAATGCCCAAAGGAGATGTTTTGTTTGACCTACAACATCAGGACTTGCCAAACAACCCAAAATATTTGCCCATGCACAAAGATGTGATAGTCTGTCCTAATACGATTTTTCACTTAGATAAAACTTACGTTGTTATTTTCCCATGGGAACACATCATTTCATGTCTGGTAAGATAGATACTGGATAAAGATTAAATTTGCAAGCAAGATGTAAGATTTGAAAATTCTGCTTTCCACATTTGCAATCCTGGACATAGGAAGAAAAGGCCAGTACTGACAAACACGCAGTCAGAGGTGTATGAATGCTACAGGGCTCTGGGGCAACATGTACGCAGTAAGAGAAAGAGATTCCTCCTTTCAGACGTCAAAACGGCTGTAACACCAAGAGAAAATTTGCCTGGACACGTTCCCACTGGGTCAGCGATAAAGAAGCTTTTTGAAGTTTTCTGGTTTTTCTTTTACCTGGCAACCTCCTCCTTGAAAGTCTCCTTGTATATAGGTGGAGGAAGGAAGACAACTTTCTACCTGCATCGCAGCATCATAGTCATAAGCAGAAAGTGGAAGAAAGCTTGGTAAGAAATATTACTTTTTATTTCCTTACGCTCCTTTGAAGTACCAACCCATTGGTGCTATATAAGAAATTTCAGCTATTCTAATCATTTAATAAATTACTTAGTAAAGGAGTATTAGTAGGGGTCAAATAGCAAACTATGTAAATAAAATAAAAATAAATATAACTACCAGCCAGCTGCTATCCTGCAAACAATACCAGTGAGCTTGGAAACCATCAGCTTAGCTTCAGAAAGGCTGGAACAACATCCAGCCGCAGACCACCATGAAAATAATGCAACAGAGATTCTCAGATTCAAATAACGGACTTATCCACTAGATAATAATGGAACATCTCTTGCAAAATCAGCCTCATACTTTTATTTCTTTAAGCCTTGCAGACATTGAAAAAGTAGCTCAGAGCTACGAGGAGACTTCCAATGTAGGTGCGTTTTTGGTAGGATTATGTTGGAAAAAACAGCATGGAACAAAATTACCTGCTGTGCTCCACCACTGCAGGCAAGGCTCTGCCTTATGCAGGTAAAAATCTTAACAGTGTATTAAACAAAATGAGTGGAAAGGAAGGCAGGATTGTTGGTATACAAGGCTACAGGATGAAGTCAATAGGAAATATTCCGTTAGCTCTCTGCATCCAACACACCGTAGCATTTCACGTTGTTGTTTAATTCTTTTGTTAGTAAAGAATTGCAAGCACTTAGCAAAGCTAAACAATTTTTTTGTGAGCTACAGGAACTTCTTTGAATTCTTCCACAATATTCCTGCTCTTGCTTTCTTGAAGGAAATTTCTTTGCTGTCTCCTGATGCTAAGCCCACCTACCAGCACCTTTTCACCCTTCATCTTTAACTGATGCTGGTCTGTCCAGTTTTCTAAGGTATGTTAGAAATGCAGATGGAGTATGGGAATAATTGTTGCTTGTGTTTTAAGTAAATAAAGAGAGAAACAAAGAAGACATAGAAGGACAATGACAATACTTAAAATGAGATTATGATCCGTTTATGAGCTGGTGGCATGATCAACCATTCAGTAACAAGCTTAGCTCACTTTCATTAAAAAAAACAAAACAAAACAAAACAAACCCCACCAAAACTCCAGAGCTAAGTTCCAAGAAGTAATTAGAGGGAAAAGAAGGAGAAAAAATAATTAAGAAAATTAGTGTCAAAAAAATACATTACAGTCAATTTTTATCAGCTGTATTTTGGAATAAAAGACATTTTTAATAAGCACGTACGATGTTTTATTGCAAAATCCCTACAAGGAGCTTTTTAAAGCTGTATAAACTACAAAACTAACTGAAAGCAAGAAAGGGAGAGACATCAACTGAGATGCTGGACCGAGTGCCAGAGGAAGATAATTTAAACAAACCTGTATCAGCACTCCGTTCATCTAGCAGCCCTCTGGTTCTCCAGGTAGATGCCGACTCTTGATTCCCTAAAGAATTATTGTGCTCTTGAACTACTGCAGCCGCCAACAGATTGTCCACATTTACCACCTCTGGGTCGGAATTTGTGTCTGATATATCATAGTGAGCTACAACTGGAGGTCCATCTGCAGAAGGAGAGAAAAGCAATGGGTATCAGAAATCAGCATACTCTGAAAGACACCTTTAAAAGTACAAATAATTTGTTTAATGAAAAATTAAATTATTAAAAATAATTTATTTTGTTAATGCAATCCCCTTACATGAAGCTCTTAAAGAACTACAAATGATATGAATTATTAACCTTCAGTTAATGAACATAGTCTGAAATTACAGAGACTTTTCACCTTTGCATACACAGAAAACACAAATGTAGGAAAAACACGTTTATCAATGTATCAGTTATTCGTGGATTATCTTTTACATTAACACATAAACATCTCCATATCTGGCAATGTCACATTTAGGATAAAAACTTCAGTTTAAAATAAAAAATAGTTAAGTTACAGGACATTAAATTTGTCAAGACATTTATCTAGAGAATTTTACAAAACTCAAGTTACAGCTTACATCACTTTAGGGCTGATGGAATAAAATTAACTTTTTGATATAACTGATCCAGTGACAATAACTTTAACATTAGACGACTTTCCTTACGTAACATTTACCTGTCAAGGGCAGGGAAATTTTTCAAAATTGCAGTGTTTTTTGGTGTTTTATTTTAAGATCAAGAATAACAAGAAAGAAATCTAACGTGCAGTGATAAATATACTTTTAATTCAACATGACTACCATATCTATTTTTGGCCACCAAAGCAATGGGGGAAAAAAGAGGGAGAAAATTGCTTACATGATTCTGAAATCTACTCTTGAGGTATACCAAAAACCTATTTTTGGTCTATTTCGTTAGGACAGACTATTTTCTTTGTGAGAAATGAAAATGACTTACAGTTGGAAAACACGCTAGAAACAGAAGAAGGTCAGAAAAAAGTCAGATTCGAGACAAGGATTAACATGGAAGCAAAGAGAGAATGGATAAAAATTGTAATTCTAAAAGGATGCACTCAAATGCCTCGTCTCAGCTCCAGCTTATCGACTCAAAGTGGATGAAGGTGGTTGGAGTTCCCAGTCCCCAAATGGCAGAATGAAAACTTTTTTTCGGATAAGACTTCATCCACTAAAACGAGTATGAAAGTTGGGCCAAAGCTCAGCAGCTTTGCTACTGCAATTCCTTAACTCCAAGGAAATTCTGGCAGGTGAGTGTCTGCATGTCTTGTTTTTATGGGTATGATACAGAGAGGATATAATTAGTATGGGGTAATATAAAATAATGATTAAATGATAATGTATTTAGGAAGAGAGGACCTTCAGAGTTACAAAATGACTCAAGAAATCTTTAAAAGTCACAAAGAATAAAATGAAAATACTTTTCAGGAAAGATTGGTTTCTTTTAGGAAACTTAAGTGTTGAAGGCAAAGAACACGAACTAAAAGTTTCAAATTTAGTTCTCTGAAAAGCTGTTTCTACTGAGGTTTTTAGGGTGGGGTTTTTTTGTGTGGTTTGGTGGTTTAGTTTTGGGGTTTTTTTTGTAACTTGGTCCCTGAAGCATAATTCAACCCACTATTTTAAGTGCCTGTTTTGTGATTAGCAACACACTTCATTAAAGAGTGACCATATTGCATAAGTCATACTAAAGATCAGTTTTGCAACAAGGTATGAAGAAATTCACCAAATATTTCCAATCAGACCTGCCTCCGAAACAACAATTTCATCAAACAATGTCCTATTACAAACTTAAAACAGACCCAACAAAAAATAAATGGGTAGTTAAATGCCAATGTATTAAAGACCAAACTGTTCCCAACATGAAACGCTGATGATTACGACTGAAAAATAAATCCCAATAATTAACTGAAAGGCAATCTTTGTGTTTTTGAAAGCCAATTACAAAATAATGGAATACCACGTTGGAAATTAAGCTGGCTGATGTTCAGTTAATTATTTGTGAAAGCTGATGATTAAATTACATGCAGAAGTTGCAAGTGGAATGAATCATGAGAGGCATGTTTTCTTTCAGTCTTATCATCAGAGTTCAGCGTGAACATGTATAATGTGATCTAAAAAAATAAACAGTCGAGTGCAGAAGATACGAGGGTCAAGTACAATATTGACTATTTGACCATTTTTTTTTTTTTCAGTAGGTTAGCTAAAATTTCAGGAGCTATGTACTGTTCCTTCAGGTCTTCTCTTTCTCTCACTTCTTACTACAGTCTCCAAAAGCAGAAGCAAAATTTGATTTTTTGGATAGATGTGTCTACACAAGTAAAATTAAATTTGGACAAAAAGGCAGCACCACAGTCTCAAGTCAAAATTGTACCACTCCTACATGTATAATCATGCAAAAATGTATAATAAATTTATATACATGCAGAGTGATATTCTCATCACCTACCCATTGAAATAACTTGTGTGAAAGTCTTCATCAGTAGGAAATACAAGCATAAACTTGTTATCTGTAGCTCCACTCTTGTATCTTCCACACTTCCAAACAGCACACCTTATAACTTAGCTTAAATTTAGTATACATCAAACAGACAAAAATATTTTCAATATAATTTACAAACTGTAATTATATTTGTCAGTGTAACAGCCACCAATTTAACAATCTAGGAAAAAAAAAAACAAGCTGCCTATTTACAAAGCAATCACAGCAGAGTTCTATTTTTGCTTTTCTCAGCCTTGCCTTTCACGATCAGATTTGGAAATGAAAGGCTCAGGGTTATCCATACCCACTGCCAGTAAATGACCAACAAGGCTGAGAGAATGGCCATGATGCTGCAACAAATCCTAGAATGCCCAGCACGTGTGAAAAAAGAAGCAATAAATGTCTACATTTAAAAAAAAACAAAAAACCACACACACCAAAAAAACCCCAAAAACCAATATATACGTTGTAGAGAATTAGATGAAAGTTGCAGTGAAGGCATATTTAAAAAGTTCTCTAAAAATCATTAATTTCTAAAAACCTGTCTCCTTTTCAGTCCTCCAAGGATGGGACAGGAGGGGTTAAACTTGGAAATAAATAATACTTCCCTAGCCAACTATGTGCTCATCGGATGATGTGATGCAAAGTGAATGTGTGGTACCAAGGACAACTGGCTTCAGTTAGGAAATAAGTGGGAAAAAAACACTTTCAGGTTGAAAAGGTAAAAAGATTAACTCCAGCCGTAGTTGTAACTTATTTTTTCTTTACAACAGAATTGTAATGACTGACTGTTGCAAGATTCTAAGAGATAGAAAAACAGACACCAAAACACTTAGCACAATTAGGAGGTTCCTTGGTCAGTAATTTCAAACAACCTATTTAGGAAAAAAATGGTGTCTTCTGAGAAGCCAAGGTAGCTGGAAGACATTTCCCTGGTGATAAAGCTTTAATTCATTTCTAAAGCAATAAATGCTGGAAAAAACCAAGGCTGAAAGTTAATAAGTACCAGCAGCAAAATACAGCTGTTGACATTTAATATTAACAGGGGGAGGGAAAGACTGCTTTTTCCTTTTTTTTTTTTTTTTTTTTTTAAGAATTCAGAGGCAGAGGTCATCATGGGGACAGCATTTCCAAGTGTCTTCATTCTCCCTTAATTTACGCAGCTCATCAAAATTAATTCCGCTCAGGACAACCAAACCAGAAGCCACACACACAAAAATCCAAGTCTACACCTATCAACTTTCATTTTTAAGCTTGCAGTACAGAAAATTCAATAATTTCTTCTCTGCCAGCCCCTCCTATACTTTTCATAGAGCTGCATCTCAACATTCAGCTGTCTAAACTGTAAGATCCACGTTCCTATTATCCCTTAATTCATTCTAATGGCAGCAAAAAAAAAGGGGGGGGGGGGACAACCGTAAAACTTCATCTGGAGGTTTCAAAGCAGCAATCCTACAAGAAGCACTGTACCTTTGTGCTGCACCAGCAGGACTTTATTGTAGAAAACAAAAAATATTAATCTAGCAGAACCTGAATGAGGAATTTGGTCCTTTAAGTCTTGATTTTTCTTTAGCTTTCTTAAATTTAGACCCAGCTCGCCACTGAACCTCCCTCCTGCTGTAGCCAGAGAGAACTTCAGGGTCAAGTAATTTTAACCTGGAAATTACAACCTGGAGCATCATGCCCCAGTAAACCAAAAAATCTGAGACAACCACCTTAGAAGAGGCACCTGACTTTCCCACTGCTTAAATTCACCAAAATTAAATCCAGCCTTAGGGATGGGATTTAAACTTCGCTGTATTTTTCTACAAGTAGCGGAAAAAGACTGAAATCTCCAGAAGACAATCCCGATTGAAATAATTTGAAAATTAAAAGCCTAATTTGGTGGTGTGAATTGCCCTCACAGACCCTCATTTAGGTGTGAATATCACCTGAAGCTTTAAAACACACAGAACAGGTACAATAATAACAGCATTAATAATTACACTGCCTTATTCTTACAAAAAGCTTCCCATTAGTATATCTCAAAGGGCTCCGAGGTGGTTATTAACCTCCTCGTGCCTACGGGGGAAACTGAGGCAAGCAGAGATTTGCAGCTTGCTCAAGGCTCAGCTTTGCTGAAAACAACACTCCCCTGAAATTACTCAGCTATTTTTAACTGCTAAATTATTGAGGAGTTTAAAAATGGCATTTAGGAATGGTACAGTGAAAAATGCAAAAATCTAGAAAGGCTTCCTCCAACCTCACCTCTGCATCTTCACCATGAATACAGGCAATGCTTTGTCTCAATCTCAGCGTTCTCAACTAAATTGCATTTATTTTTATAGAACAAAAGAGAATACTGAGGCATTTTTAAATTATAAAAGATCTAAGAACACCCTCATTTACACTTGACACTTAAATTTGAGAGATAACTCAATTTAAAGATTAACAAAACATAGAATGGACTTCAATACCTACATAAATTTTAAGATCAGATGATCATTACAGTAATCAAAATAATCATATCTTGTGTGCCAAAAACTAGAGGATTCATCCTAAGTAACTTGCCAAAAATAGTTTTACAGTAGACACATCAGTAAATTTGATCCAAAGTGAAGGGCTTCATAAACAAGACCACAGGGTGAAGTGACAATCTTTTTGTTTTAGATTAACAATACAAACCTGCTATTATTTAAGACATGATCGAGAGCTGCGGTTTCATAAAATGAGCATTTCCAATGGCATAAACTAGCTGAACCCTAAAGCAATTCCCCAGGCAGGATGAGGGGCAGGAGATCTGCGGCTGTTTATATTGTTTAGCAACATGAAACGCTTCATTGCTATTTATATTTATTTATTTAATCCAGGTTGCAGTAGTTACAGTTCAAAATGTACAGGGTTAGGCAAAGAATACACTGTAAATACAATTTAAAAACCATACTCGTGTAACAACATTCTCTCTAAAATCATAAAGTGAACAAAAAAATTATTGATGAATCCACTTTCCTCACATTTTCCTTCATTTCACACAGTAAAGCTTTTGTGTTTTCACCATAATAATAAAATAATAAAACCAAAACAACATGAGTATCAGTTCTCAGATTGAATAATTTTTAATGTATCACATGAATAGAGATCTCAAAAAATTCAAGTCTTACTGATCAACATTCATTCTTTCAGGCTTTTTGACGACTAGCTGGAAAATATCTCGGATTTGTTTTACCAAATGATATAAAAAGACATAATAAATTATTTTTCATTCCGCATTAAGCAAAGGCACATGGAACAAGGCCGTGTATTGAAAATATCAGGAAGCGGCACGGATTTTCTATCTCGTGACAGGATTTATTGTCCCTGATACCACCTAATGATTCATTAATTATGGCAGCAGATACATTAGCCAGATCTCTTCCCCAGTTTTACTTGAAAGAAAAAAAAAAAAAAGTATCAGGAGAGCTTTGGAAACCATCACACCATCCTCTTACATAGCTACGACAGTTAAATTAATTTATTAATTTATTTATTAATTTACATTAGGAAAAGCTGGCAAACGTGCACCCCGTATGCACCCCTCCAGAAAACATAACTTTTTTTTTTTTTTTTTTGCAAGTACAAACTGCATCTTCCCATGGAAGGACTGACCCAGCCTTGATGCAGAAAACTTTTGCCGGTCCAGCCTAACCTCCAGGAGATTTAACAGAGCGCTGGAAATCGCTGTTAACTTAATAAGCCTGTTTTCCATGTGCCTTCATTTTGCTGACCTAACACTCGGAGACTAATCGAATTTGGGAGAAAAACCGATTTCTAGCCTCGTGTTTTGCAAGGTACTGTCCATCTCTATCAGTCAGCCTGAATATTTTAGCTTCTACAGTACAAATTACACAGCGCGTTCGTTCTCACGCTTCCAAATGGAACTGCAGTGGTCGCAGTGCAGACCCCGGTTATTTTAAAAACATCGACACAGTGGGTCTGATTTATACACATTCATCAGGCAAAGACTCCCTTTAAAGACAGCTAAAGGATTCTTTGACCAAAAACTGCAGAATAAGTTTAATTTCTAATGAGGTGAAGCGCTAACCCCATTGAAGTTAGTAGAAATTTTCTACTGATTTTAATGGGGCTAGGATTGAATTTTCTTAATGCCCTTGAAATATTACTTTTAAAAAACCCCAGATCTACAGTATGTGGATACAGAAAGAGACAAAATATATTAACAAGATAAAACACTGATAATAAATACGTTTCCATTTGTAAAATAACTGCCAAATATAATCCCCTTTCATTGAAGTTAAGGCTCATTCTCCAGTCTTAACTCTAGCAGCTCTGATAAAATAACCTAACAATCCTGCAAAAAACCTAAAAGACACTGTGAACTTAAAAAAAATAGAGATGTGCATTTCTGCCTGAATTCTTTTGTCCTAATACTGTTAAAAATAACACTGCAGAGCAGTATATCTGAAAGATTTAAGATTTTTTCTTTGTTTTTCTCTCCCTGCTCAGTTATTTTTTTGCAAGAGAAACACTGAATAAAGTTTTACTGCCTTTAATTTATGTTGTATATTTTTTTTCTAAATAAAACCTGAAAATTCATTTTATAAGAAGAATAGGAGACAAAACCCCAAACCCTCAGATAAATTGATGTGTGAAGGGTGGAATTTCCTAAAGACCTTTCTTACCAAACCCCACTCTAGGGAGGGAAGCAGCACAATTACTTGGGAAAGAACCTGCAGCCAAATTTTGAGTCTCCAAAAAATCACTGCACACTAAAGCCCCTGGACTTCCAAGGACTCCTATGTAAGGTCCAATTCTAGAAGCAGATCTTTTAATTTTTCATTTACTGAATTGTCAGTTTGACATTTAAATTAAGCCTTTATATAAAGACTTCTTTCTTTTTGCACTTGCACAAAAAAATGCTAACAAAGTAGCTGTGTTTCACCTGCTAATAAATCCTGACTCTGCACAAACAGCTGCAACATTGAAAAACAAATAATTTGCTATTTAAAAAGGCAATATAGGAAACTTGAACAGGCCAGTTTGGGTTTAAACTGGCACCATCTTCACTGGAATTACACCAGTCGACACCAGCTGATCTGACTCGATGCATTTTCTCTTTCAAAACCATAAAATACATTTTTTTAAGGAAACTAGGATGTTTCTTTACTCCATTCTGAAGTCTAAAACCTAGGGCAGTTAGAGAAACTCTAAATTATCATCTGTGATTCTCCATGTCTGTGCAAAACTCTTAACTGGTTTCTCCTCTACTTGTTAAATTTGGTGGTTTTGAAGGAATTTCATAGAATCATATTTATTGAGATGTCAG